GGCGGCGACAAGGAGGGGGTGGGGGGGGGGGGGAGAGGGGTGAGTCCGAGAGGATTTGCACCGGCACCCGGCCGGGGCAGCGGGTGGGCGTGGGGCCGGGCTGGAGAAAGAAGGGCACGGGAAAGGGGCACGGCAGACCTCAGCCAGCTGGGGCCGGGATGGGGGCAGGGGAAACCAACCCGTACCTCTGCGCCGCCGGCGAGGGCAAAGCGATGTGCCTTTCTCCCAGCCCCGGCCTCGCTCAGCCTGGCCTCCCCGCAGCAGCCCGCGTCTGTAAAGTTACTCTAGCGGTAGCTCTGCCTTCTGGTCTCGGCGAGGAGGAGAAGGGGACCCCCCCACACCCCATCCCATACCCTCCCCTCGTCTCCCACCCTACTCCATGCCAGCCCTGCGTATGCCCACCTTAAAGTTGCTGGAAGTTGACAGTCCGCATCCGGGACGCAGCTGGGAGTCCGGGCTCTTTCCCACCCCGCTCCTCCGGCGTGTCTTTCGCTCCTTTCCCGACCACTCTGCTCCGGTTTAGTCCCGAGGAGGCAGCGAGCTGGCTTGGGTTTGGGAATCCTCTTGCACACCCCTCCCTTCTCCTCCGCGGGCTGAATCAGCTTCTTTTGCACCACCGGCAGCTGAACTGTAGCAGAGGCGTGTTTGCTTCTCTGCAGCCGCGATGAGCTAAGTAGTTGCCTCCATGTCCTTCCTCTAACCATCTGATAGTTTTATGTGGTGACATGAGCAGAAAAGACCCCTGTAGAGGCGCTTCATTAATGTGCCACTTCTTTGCTATCATATGACAATCGCCTTGGGAGCAGGGGGAGGGGAGCGGGGAGGAGGGGGCTGGAAAGAAAGGCATAATCTGGTTTCATTTACACCTATTTACATGGACACCTTGGGCCAATGGGAATCATTTCCATTTGAAGACAAGGCGAGGGGTGAAAAGGCTCCGCCAGCGGAATTGCAGTGCGATGGTACCCGGTGGCTGGGGGTGGGGGGGAAGGTATGCACTAACCTCTCTGTGGACTTTGCAGGAAGCTTAGTCTGCAATTCACACTTAGAAATGGAGGTACTGAGCAGTGGGATGTTTGACATGGAAATTGCTTGGCTGTGGTATTCTGTTTGTTCTGCATTGTTATCTGATTTGTATTGTTGGCTAACTTAAGACGAGCCTTTTTCCCTGTAACGAGAGACTTTCTCTTTGCCAAATCCGCTCTCCCCGAGCGAAGGTTCTTTCGAGGAGAGAAAAGATCGGGGCTCCTCCGTAGTCGCCCCGGGAAGTTTCCTTCTCCCCCTCACCCTTCTTCCTCCCCCTCCCCCCAGCCCAGGCAGGACCGCTGCTTTAGTTCCGCCGACCTGTTGGTGCAAAGCCGTGGGAGTCGCCTTAAAATACACCCGCAGCGTCCGGAGCACAGCCCCGGTGTGCTCGGTGCCGATTTTGGCCGGGCTTGGGGTGGGCGGCGGGAGTCCCGCAGAGCTGGTCTGGGCTAACCGGTCCGCGTCAGCGGTTACTGTGCTAAATATCGTCAACCTGACGCTTTCCGCGGGATATGTGTCAGAACGTTCGTGTGCCTCTGTGCTTCTCGGTGCGCACTTGTGCGCGCGTAGGAGCAGCCAGGGTGTGTGTAGCACCCGAGTTGCGGCTCTATTTGCTCCGCTGTACTGCCTCCTCCCCGGGAACCAAGGCCCGATCCTGGAACCGCAGCCCAGGCGAGCAGCCCCACTGCCAACCATGTGCCCTGGGGGGAGGATCTGGCCCGGAAAGTCCCAGGCTTGCCCTGGCACAGGAGGGAAGTTTGGATGATGTCTATTCCCGAGGCTGCGGTGCATCCTCTTAACCTAGAGCCAGAATACAAGATTGTCTCGGGAGCTGCAAGCCCTGGAAGGAAGAGCCTTTGTGGTGAATACACATCCACTCCATTAACAGTGTTTTCGGAGTCGGTCAATAACTCACCAAAACGTAACTTAAACACGATGAATTTAGGAGATTAAACAATTTCATTAATATTGAAATGTCTGCTGAGGCTGAGCGCTCCCGCTTGAAATGCAAGCGCACGTTTTTCAATATTAACAGAAGTACTTGAAGAAAAGAATAATGTCACCTTCTTAATTCAGCAAAAATAGCTGGGGTGGGGGAGGGAGCGCCGCGCCGGCTGCCTGTGCAGCGCGGGCTGCTGCGAGACGGACTCTGCCGGCGCGGTAGGGTCTCCTCGGAGGGACAGTCCCCGTCAAGCAGGGCTGCCTGAAACCTGGCAGCAGCTTGAAAACGCATTTCACACTGCAACTAGCTCCGACGTCGTGTGTGTTAAACTGCGTTCCCCTCCTTCCAACCCGGCTGCCCTCAGTCCCACCTAATCCGTCTCTCTCGGGGCAGGATGTCGTTTAGAGAATAATGGGCAAATAATTGTGTTTCTAGGAATCCGAGAAGCCGACCTCGGCCCCGCGTTTCCGAGCTAACGAGCCCTTGTGGGGGGAGACCTGCCGCATGTCACCCCCGGGTTGCAGAGAACACCCGGGGGTTTTCGTGCGGTTCAGAGCCCGGGAGCTGCCTTGCTCAGTTAACCAGCTCGACACGCTTCGTGCCGGTCGGGCAGGGCAGGAAGGCAGCCTCCAAACTTTTTTTGGGGGGTAAGAGGTGATGAGCCGATGGACGTTGGTTAGAGCGTAGGAAAGACAATACTCTCAAATGAGGACAGATTCCTCCCAGCGTCCCCTAGGACACCGGGCAGAAGGCTTCTATTTTTGTATTGAGAGACCCCAAATAAGTGGGTTTAATAGACACCTCTGACCCCCCGCCCCCCCAGCTTCTAACACTCCTCACTTCGGGTTTTGTCTCTCAGCCCAAGTTCGCTCCTGGGATGCCTGTCTAAAAGAGAGCTCAGAAACAGCACAGGAGTAAATAAAATTCACAGGCTGACAAATTCTTTTCTTCCTCTTTTTGCCGGTACCTTTTATTTCCGAAGAAAGAAAAAAACCAACCGCTGGCGCAAATGGGAATCCGCAAGCTGTGAAGTTAAAGAATAGTCTACTTCCGTTGTCATTTGCTACTCCGAGTGCGAAGGAGGTATGGCTGTAAGGCGCCCGATTTTTCTTTTTCCAGTGCAAAGGAATGTGTGAGCGGAGGGGTAGGGCAGGCAAAGCCATCCCGGTAATTGATACCCAAAGTTTCACCTCGTGTTAAACACGCAACAGATGACAGACTTGGGCAATATAGGATTTAAATGTAACTTGTAGCATTTGCCTTTTACTTTGAAAGCCAACATTAGGGAGGAGGGGAGGGGGCAAGTGAATCCAAATCCATTGTGCAGAAAACCAAAACAAATAGACGTGTTTCTGAAGCCTAATTCAAATAAGGAGCTCAGGAGAAGTGTTGGGAAAACTGTATAAAATACACATAAGTCAATTATATCAATGTGCAAACCCAATGGAAATCTATTTCTTGCAATAGCCATTCAGCCCTTGCATGAAGCCCATCATGGACCACCTTTCTGCATGGAAGGTTCGCAATAGCCCCCTTTCCCACAAGCAAGACCACACACGTTTACAGATTTGGTAATAATTTATGCTAATTTTCCTCCATAAATCCACAATTCGCTTCAGTGGCAAGCGGGGCTGTTGAGAGAGGAAAAGGAGACAGAAAAGTGACAAATACAATATTGATTTTGAATCTTTGTGGCTGCAAGCAGGTGTGTAGCGTTGCAGAGGGGAGGAGTGGGAGAAGGGCTGTGGAGGGAAGCCAAGAAGTTTTCCAAGGATAAAAAAAAAAAAAAAGAAAGAAAAAAATGCACTCTGTGTGGGAGAATAGCTCACAACCTTGTTAATATTTACAAACCAGTTGGGAGAAAAGAGAAGGGAGGGGGAAAGTACCAGCTTCTTAGGGTTTCCTAGGCTGCGAAACACAATGCCAGGCTCTGAGCAAGCTTCCCCCGTTTTGGAAAGTCAACTCCAGGCTGCTGGTTGCGGCTGCGTTTCGGCTAAGCCTCGCTCTCTCTTTTTTTTTTTTTTTTTTTTTTTTTTTTTGTAATGGTTCTGCGTCTCTTTGCTTCTCGGGGGCCGGGAGGGAGAAGGAAGCGGAGGCATTTGGGCTCTCCCGCTTTTCTGTGGGCTTGAATTCCCGGTGCGGTTTCCCGAGGCGCTCCGGCCGCTCTGGGAACGGCGGGGCTTTGTCCCACCCCACATTCTTCACCAAATCTGCCACTTTGGCGTGAAACTACTTAGCGCCCTTTCAAAAGGGTTTTGCTCCTTTCGCAACGACCAAACTAAACAAACTCCCCCTGCCTGTCAAGGCCGGGCTGAGAACTGCTCCCCAAACCCGTACTCCTGATAGCAACAGCACCGCTCGGGGTTTGCGGTGCCCTTTGTGCCCGGGGGATCGGGCTCGGCCACGGCTGCGCCCCGCGGGGCTCGGCGCTCCCGGCGTTGGGCAGGGCGCTCCGCCGCCCCTTCCCTGCCGCCGCCCGCCGGCGCCTCGTCCCCGTGCCCCCCCTT